AAAAATAAAATAAAAAATAAAATAGAAAAAAAAAATCAGATAAAATATAGATGACGGAATAAATAATAATAAATAAATAAATAAATAAAAATAGTAAGAATATTAAAAATTACTAATAATAGCATCAAATTAATAAATGAAAATATTAGATCATAAAACAATGACACATGCTAGGATCACCTACCAAATAATGTATATACATTATATACATATTTTTACATATATAATTATATATATTTATATGTAAAAATTAAAATAAAAGAAAATAAAATAAAATAAAATTAAACATCAGCATAAATGGGAATCAAATCATGAATCAATACACATGCCATGTTCATCAACTACCAACCTATCATATACATTATTATTATTATTATTATTATTATTATTATTCATACAATTATCAAATAAATAAAATAAACCATAAGGACCATCTAGACCTATAAATACACCCTCTTAGCCATCCCAAACACTGCAAATCGGAGAGATAGAAGCTATATATATACATATACATATATATACATAATCTCGCCGGAAAATTTATATCTATATTATTTTACGTATCAAACTTCGTAAAAACGATAGAGGAGGGTCGTGAGAGGTCTAGGAATACTCCCCAATAAATTCCAGACCGATTCGTAGTCACCGGAGCATCCTAGAGCTCGCCGGAGTTACAAGTCGTGGAAGTGGGTGTTCAGAAAAAGCGGATATTTTGCCGTAGATAGGAGTGGCGGAGCTTCGTCTTGCCGTCAGGATCATTTTGCAACTTGAATCGTTGAAATCCGTTACCTGTAAGTCAAGTTATAGCTCGCCGAAGTTTTTGTAATTCCGGTCGCCGGAAACCCGACCTGGAGAAGAGCTGGGAAGAAGACAACCCAGTCTTCTTGGGCCGGGTCGTGTATTTGGGCCGGTTCGGCCCAGTTTCAATAAAAATTAAAAATAAAATAGTAAATGAAGTAAATAAAATCTGGAAAAATATAAATTAAATACCTAGTATAAATATACATATTCGGACCAACCAGAATTGAAAGATAGTATTTTTAGCTATTTTTAATTGATTTAATTGTAATTGGGCCAATTTGTACATATTTAGTAAATAATTAACTAAATGACGAAATAAATTACGAAATAATTATTGGAGTAAACTAGATTACATATATGACTAACTAGGACATTTGGGACCATTTGTAATTAATAAAAATTATGATTAGTATATTTAATTGTAATTAAACCGGTTAATAGAGATATGGAATTAAATGAATAAATAAGGGAAATAATTCTAAAATAAATATATGGACAACCTAGGTCAAATATAGACACCAAATATAGTTATGAACTATTATAAATTTATAAAGTCGATTATTAAGCTATTTAATTTAATTGGGTCATATAAAACTAGTTAAGTAATTAAATACGAAAATTGATTAATAATGGTGAAATAAATAAAATCACTAAGATGGGAAATAATATTATGGACTAAAAATGAGGTTTGTAATAAAATAAAGAAAAGAAAATAAAGTTGAGATAGCTAGTATAAATGAATGACTATATTTGGACTTAATAAATAAATCATTTAACTAGTGGACTAATTAAATTAGTGTGATTAAATTAATAATTATCATCCTTAATTGTTACTTTTTGGACTCCATATAAATTATTAAACTATATGAACTCATAAAAATTAGTTGAGTAATACAAACTAATTAATTAAGTAATATGTACTTAATAATTTAGTTAATCGACTCCATTAGACTAGTTTAACTAAATCAATTAGTTTAATGGATAAATTAATTAAATTATGGACGTATTAATATTTTTGGACTTTATATTAAAAATATAAAATTAAAACGAAATTAGAATTTGATTGATTGCCTTAATTGAATTAGATTAATGTATTTAACTATATTTATATAATTAAACTTATTTAGTTGATGAAATTAATTAAATTAATTTAGTTAGCTAAATAAGTAAACTGGAGAATTGAATTAGTTATGGTAATTGGATTAGTTAGTATAAATAAACTATTAAACTAATTAAAGTTATTATTGAGAATAGATTATCATTAATGATTAATATTTCGAATTATTGCTTACGGAAAATTATTATTCAAAGGTTTATTAAATAAATTATATAAATTATGTAAACTGAAATTTAACTGAAATTGATTATTTAAATTCGAAATATTGAAACTATTATGTAATTAATTTAATTAGACTAGTTAACTAATTAACCAAATAAGTTAAAGTAAATTATGGAGGGGATTAGTATGCTTAAAGAAAATAATAAGGTTGGACTGAAAATTTACATTTAAATAAGATTTATGGATCTAACTTAAAAGTTGTATTTAAAGAAGGAATAATGAAGTTAAAATAACTAAAGGTTGAATAGATAGGAAATAACAAAAATAATAGAATAGTTATTGATTTAGAATTTTGATATATATTAGAAGGAGAATTCAAGTGAAGATCAAGCTAGAGATTTTATTAAGAGGATTATCGCAATTTAAGGTAAGTTCTATGTCAACCAAAAATGTTTTATCTCGTATTTATATGTATGCAATATTTGAACTATGTGGACTATTTATGAATTGGAAACTATTTGTTTGACATGGAATGAATATTTTGAATGTATGGATATTGGTGGATTATTATCTATTATGGATTATTAAATGTATATTCTTTTTATTAAAGAATATTGGTGGATTGATATTTATTACAAAGTATATTTTTGGAAAGTGTGACAAGAATGACTTTGGGAAAAACTTAAAGTTTTTCATAATATATTTTTACGTCTCGAGAGAAACATGAGGCGTGGGTGATTAGGACTACTACTACTTTTGGTGAAATTTATTTGGGTCGGTAACCAGTCCGGCAATGACATGCTCCGGTAGACATCCCGGGCTTTTATTTGAGGACCAAAGGTCCTTTGGTGGTTGTAGTAGTAGTTACCTAATTTATCCCTGGACAATGTCCCTTGTGAGTAGGTGGTAGAAAACATCCTGCCTGCTTGGATTTCTTACTACTCGGAGGGCTTGGAATCCCTTTTAGAGGGTGTTCACACTTAAGGTAGAAATTCAGCTTCCAAATTGGTGGTCGGTGGGAGCCGGAATTCCGGGATGAGTCGTAAATAACAACGACTTGTTGGGCTCGAGAAATCTTGAGTTTCGCCCACTCTTAAAAGAAATCTAAAGTATTACTTTTGGAGGAATTGAGGAATGACATTATCTATTGAAGAATTTATTTTGAGACATGAAGTTATTTTGGAGATATGAGAGGGTATTTTCTATATATATATACCTATACCAAACCTATTTTCCAAATTATATTATTTTACGGGTTCGGGTGGAATCTTACTTAGCTCTAAAGCTAATTTTTGTCTCTTTTGTCTTCTTCTCTTTGCTCTATTGTACAGATGATTATGATTATGAAGATTGATGTACTTGCTGCCCGAGTGTTCCGCTAGTTTGATTAATTATCGTTGTTTAAATTTGTAATTCATAAACTTTGTCCTGAGACCTATTTCATTGTTATTTGAACTTATGGTGGATAGCCTGTGCACTCAATCATGTATAGGTTGAGTGTGGCGGTGACGCACCTTTTTTTCCCTTAAAGACTTCCGCTGTATTCTAATTATGTTTAATAATAAAGATGGTTTCATTTAAAAATGTGATTTTATTTGGGTGGGGAAAATGGGGGTGTTACAAGTTGGTATCAGAGACCTTAGGTTCTCCGAAGGGATTGGAACACGAGGTAATAGGTCGTAGGGAGAAGTTCTGTCACCAAGACGATAACAGTCTAAGCTAGTTGGTTCTTAATTGAGTCTTGCGCTCGTCCAACTAACTGGGAATTTCTCCTTGTGCTGAAACTTCGTCGTTCGAAATCCTTGAAGGAAACTTTTGAAATTGTACCTCCAAATGGGAAATTTTCAAATATTTTTTTAAACTAGAAGAAATAATATAGCTAGGAAATGGCCTATTAGGAACGTGTTGAGGACCTTGTGAGTAATTTTTTTCGTTGCATGTATGTGATAATTGTGCTAATTGTGGGCCCATATGAGAAATGGGAACCCTAAATGTTGAAGGGAATGCCTCATAAGGGAAAATTCCAAAGTGGCCAAGGTATGTACAAACATTATGTGCAAAAGTGGTGTTATGTGAACTGTGAATCCTGTGTATAATAGTATGGTACGATTTTCATATTATCATGTTGTATAGCCTATGGAATCCTTAGTTGAAATAGGATCCTTAAGAGCAAAATAGGGAAATTCTTACACGGATATATTGTGTTATTAAGATATCATGGCACCGAGAAGAGACCCTGATAATACACCCACCAATGCTGAGCTGGCACAAAGCGTCCAACAACTGGCGCAGTTCATGCACACATTGGGTGCTACTGTACTCCAGAATCACCAAAATCAGAACAATGGAAATGATGCTGCTAAACGAGTAGCATCTCGCAACCCACCGAGCTTTCATGGGCAAGAAGATCCTCGTATCCTCGAGGATTGGATCCGACTCTTTGACAAACTCTTTGACGCGGTGAACTGTCCGGAAGAGCAAAAAGTTGACATTGCTGTTTATTACTTACAAAAAGAGGGGGATAATTGGTGGGTCTCATCAGGCCCAGCTCTACGTCAACAACCCAATTTCAATTGGGAAGCTTTCAAGATTGCCATGAGGAAACGTTTTTATCCTGCTCACGTCCAGGCCACCATGCATGAGGAATTCATACATTTGAAACAAGTGGACATGAGGGTCCAGGAATATCACACTAAATTCTTGGACCTCGCGCCATTTGCAAAGACAATAGTGCCTGATGAGAGCACCAAAGTCGAGAAGTTTATTCTTGGATTAAACTTTGATACACAAAAAACCGTCGTTGTTTTGGGTTGCCAAACACTGACGGATGCCTATGATAGAGCTGCAGTTCACTATCGTGTTCAGCAGTTACAAAGAGAGAGAAACCAGAAAATGAAGAGGTACGGAGATGAGGAGAGAAGTCGGGGAGAAAAGAGGTTTAGGGCGAACCCACCTACACAACAACAAGAACGGAGGGAGAGGAGAGATGACCAAAGCGGAAGAAATTTCCGTGGTCAAAACCAGCAAAATGATCGGAGAGCTGCTCCTAGAGATAGGCACTTCTACTGCAAGAAGTGCGGGAGAGATCACCCCGCGATTAACTGCGATGGGAGCCTAACCAAATGTTTCAATTGCGGGAAGCTAGGGCACCGATCCTTCGAGTGTCTGTCAAAGACCAATGGGACACCATTGAACCAGGTGCAATATCATGATGGAAACCGAACCGGGCCTAATGGCGGGCAAAACAACAACAATGTCATCGCCATCAACAACAACCGCAACCCTCGAGGAGGAGGGGAGAATAATCGCGGTCACGGTAATGGAGGTAACCAAGGAAATGGCGGGAACAATGGCAATGGCGGAAATAACGGCAACCGTCCGAACCAAGGGCGAATCATGGTAATGAACCAAGCCCAAGCCAATGCCAATGATGTGGTCTCAGGTACATTCCTTGTAAATTCTGAGCCTGCTTATGTTCTATTTGATTCTGGTGCTTCTCACAGTTTCATATCTTCTAATTTCGTTAAGAGATTAAAGATTGAACCAACAACTAGAATAGACTTGAATGTAAGAACTGCCTCAGATAAAATTGTAACTTGTGGAAATGTATACTCCAACATTTCCGTACTCATATGTGAGTCCAACCTACCCGGAGACTTAATCCAATTTGACTTAGAAGATATAGATGTAGTACTGGGCATGGACTGGTTGGGGAAGTACAAAGCTAGGATTCTATGTGATGAACAGAAGGTGATCTTGAAGGGTCCAAATGGGAAGAGAATATCTTACAAAGCAATCACAACCAAGCCCAGTATGAAGCTGATGACTATGCGACAATTACGACAACATATTCGAAAGGGGTATGAAACCTACTTGTGTTTGCTGAAAGAGGTGAATATAGAAGAGCCAAACATTTACCAAATTGCTGTAGTCAACGAATTTCCGGACGTATTTCCGGAAGAGATTCCGGGAATGCCGCCCGAGAGAGAAGTTGAATTCTCAATTGAGTTGATGCCCGGAACTGCACCAATTTCAAAAGCACCTTACCGGATGGCACCAAAAGAAATGCAAGAGCTGAAGGAGCAACTGGAGGAGCTATTAGAAAAGGGTTACATAAGGCCGAGTGTCTCACCTTGGGGCGCTCCGGTCTTATTTGTCAAAAAGAAAGATGGGAGTCTAAGGCTATGTATCGATTACCGGGAGTTGAATCAAGCAACTATCAAGAACAAATATCCATTACCCCGGATTGACGACTTGTTTGATCAATTAAAAGGGGCTTGCACGTTCTCTAAGATAGACTTGCGCTCTGGCTACCATCAAGTGAGAATAGCCGAGAAAGATGTACCAAAGACAGCATTCCGCACAAGGTATGGACATTACGAGTTCACTGTGATGCCGTTTGGTTTAACTAATGCACCAGCGGTATTCATGGATCTAATGAACCGTGTATTCCGACCTTACCTTGATACCTTTGTAGTGGTATTCATTGATGATATCCTCGTATATTCAAAAACCCCGGAGGATCACGAGAAACACTTGAGACTCACATTGCAAACTTTGAGAGAGAACCAGTTGTATGCAAAACTCTCAAAGTGCGACTTCTGGCAGGATCGGGTAGCGTTCTTGGGTCACATTATCACCCAAGAGGGCGTATCCGTAGATCCATCCAAGATTAAGGCGGTGATTGAGTGGCGTGCACCTACCTCGGTCACGGATGTAAGAAGTTTCTTGGGTTTAGCCGGTTACTATCGGAGATTTGTTAAAGATTTCTCCAAGATAGCAAGACCGTTAACCAACCTGACGAAGAAGACAACCAAGTTCTATTGGGATGAAGATTGTGAAGCGGCATTTCAAGAGTTGAAGAAAAGACTCACAACCGCGCCGGTCTTGACATTACCGTCAGGGACAGAGGGGTTCGATATCTATAGCGATGCATCTAAGAAGGGGTTGGGGTGTGTGCTTATGCAGAATAGGAAAGTGGTGGCTTATGCATCAAGACAATTGAAGGTGCATGAAGTTAACTATCCTACTCATGACTTGGAGTTAGCTGCAGTAGTGTTTGCACTGAAAATCTGGAGACATTACCTATACGGAGCACAATGTAAGATATACACTGACCACATAAGTTTGAAGTACATATTCACTCAAAAAGAGCTTAACATGAGGCAAAGAAGATGGCTCGAACTTCTAAGTGATTACGACTTGGAAATCCAATACCACGAGGGAAAAGCTAATGTGGTGGCAGATGCTTTGAGCAGGAAATCTGAGCACTCATGCCGAGCAACATGGATATTACCAGAAGAACTGTTCCGAGACTTTCAAAGATTGAACTTGGAAGTAAAACAATATGGCGAAGTAGATAGTGAAATACAGTTATGTACTATGACCGTTACACCATCTATCTTTGAGGAGATCAAGAATGGGCAACCGGGAGATGTGAAGCTCGAGAGAATCAAGGAAAGAATGAAAGATGGGGTCAATGGGCCATTCAGGACACATGAAGATGGGAGCATCCGATACAAGGGAAGGTGGTGTGTTCCTCTGAAGTGTGCAGATATTAAAAGACAAATCATGGAGGAGGGACACAACACTCCCTACTCAGTACATCCCGGGGGAGACAAACTATACAAAGACCTCAAAAAGAACTTTTGGTGGCCGGGAATGAAGAGAGAAGTAGCTGAATTCGTATCCCGATGTTTGAATTGCCAAAAAGTCAAAGCAGAGAGATGTAAACCCAAGGGACTTGTGCAACCCTTGGAAGTACCTAAATGGAAGTGGGATTCCATCTCGATGGATTTTGTTGGAGGGTTACCCTTAACTAAATCAGGAAGAGATAAGATTTGGGTAATCGTTGACCGATTAACCAAAACTGCAAGATTTATTCCCATGAATGAAACTTGGAGCATGGACAAGCTCGCCAAAGCCTATGTGAAATACGTGGTCAAACACCACGGAGTACCTCAAGACATCATATCGGATCGAGATTCACGATTCTTATCTCAATTCTGGAAGGAATTACAAACGGCTATGGGGACAAAATTGAAGTTAAGTACTGCTTTTCATCCAACCACGGATGGACAGACCGAAAGAACAATCCAAACGTTAGAAGACATGTTGAGGGCATGTGTTCTTGATTTGCAAGGATCATGGGATGAGAACCTAGACTTAATAGAGTTTTCGTACAATAACAGTTACCATGCTAGCATCGGAATGGCCCCGTACGAAGCTCTATACGGTCAAAAGTGTAGAAGTCCCTTATGTTGGGGTGACATTGTCGATCAGGTGGTTCTAGGACCACAATACTTGCAAGATACCATAGAGAAAGTCAAAGTCATCCAAGAGAGGATGAAGGCTGCCCAAGACCGACAAAAATCATATGCCGATCTTGGGAGGAAGCCAGCTGAATTCGAGATAGGGGAGAAAGTTCTACTCAAAGTCTCTCCTACAAGGGGAGTAATGAGGTTCGGGAAGAAAGGGAAACTAAGCCCGAGGTTAATCGGACCCTACGACATCCTAGAGAAGGTGGGAAAAGTGGCATATCGATTAGCTCTACCCACAGAGTTGGATAAGGTAACAAACGATTTTAAAACAAGATACTTTTCAACGATTAGATTTCATCCTTAACATATAGAGTTGTGCTAGGTACATAACGTCTTTCACGTATCACAATTAAAGAAGTACGTTCGAGATGAGTCACATATCATCAATCCTGAGGTAAGAGACCCTAAACTTAACATGAACCAAAGTAAACTGGAAATAATATAAGCTAACCCTTATATTATTAGGTGATTGAAATGGATGAGGCGTTATCCTACGAAGAAAAACCCGTAGAGATCCTTGATACTAAAACCCGAGAGACGAGGAAGAAGAAAGTTAAGATGGTAAAAGTACTTTGGTCAAACCATTTGACCGAGAATGCAACATGGGAGACAGAAGAGGATATGCGTAAACGGTATCCTGAACTGTTCAACTAAGGTAAATATTGGGTTACGAGGACGTAACCTTTCTTTTAGGGGGGTAGGATGTAACATCTTATAAACTTGTAATACTTCATCTTCATACTTAATTCTCGTCTTAGTTTATGCTTCGAGGACGAAGCATTCTTTAAGGAGGGTAGAATGTGATACCTTGAAAATTTGAAATAAAAATAAATAAATAAATAAATCAGATAAGTTATATCTGATAAATCAAATGAAAGTAATATAAAAATATTTTGTATTATACTTGGTGTATAAAAATATATGCATGCTACATGCAATAAAATTAAACACTTATGTGGCATCAAAAAAATAAAATAAAAAATAAAATAGAAAAAAAAATCAGATAAAATATAGATGACGGAATAAATAATAATAAATAAATAAATAAATAAAAATAGTAAGAATATTAAAAATTACTAATAATAGCATCAAATTAATAAATGAAAATATTAGATCATAAAACAATGACACATGCTAGGATCACCTACCAAATAATGTATATACATTATATACATATTTTTACATATATAATTATATATATTTATATGTAAAAATTAAAATAAAAGAAAATAAAATAAAATAAAATTAAACATCAGCATAAATGGGAATCAAATCATGAATCAATACACATGCCATGTTCATCAACTACCAACCTATCATATACATTATTATTATTATTATTATTATTATTCATACAATTATCAAATAAATAAAATAAACCATAAGGACCATCTAGACCTATAAATACACCCTCTTAGCCATCCCAAACACTGCAAATCGGAGAGATAGAAGCTATATATATACATATACATATATATATACATAATCTCGCCGGAAAATTTATATCTATATTATTTTACGTATCAAACTTCGTAAAAACGATAGAGGAGGGTTGTGAGAGGTCTAGGAATACTCCCCAATAAATTCCAGACCGATTCGTAGTCACCGGAGCATCCTAGAGCTCGCCGGAGTTACAAGTCGTGGAAGTGGGTGTTCAGAAAAAGAGGATATTTTGCCGTAGATAGGAGTGGCGGAGCTTCGTCTTGCCGTCAGGATCATTTTGCAACTTGAATCGTTGAAATCCGTTACCTGTAAGTCAAGTTATAGCTCGCCGAAGTTTTTGTAATTCCGGTCGCCGGAAACCCGACCTGGAGAAGAGCTGGGAAGAAGACAACCCAGTCTTCTTGGGCCGGGTCGTGTATTTGGGCCGGTTCGGCCCAGTTTCAATAAAAATTAAAAATAAAATAGTAAATGAAGTAAATAAAATCTGGAAACATATAAATTAAATACCTAGTATAAATATACATATTCGGACCAACCAGAATTGAAAGATAATATTTTTAGCTATTTTTAATTGATTTAATTGTAATTGGGCCAATTTGTACATATTTAGTAAATAATTAACTAAATGACGAAATAAATTACGAAATAATTATTGGAGTAAACTAGATTACATATATGACTAACTAGGACATTTGGGACCATTTGTAATTAATAAAAATTATGAGTAGTATATTTAATTGTAATTAAACCGGTTAATAGAGATATGGAATTAAATGAATAAATAAGGGAAATAATTCTAAAATAAATATCTGGACAACCTAGGTCAAATATAGACACCAAATATAGTTATGAACTATTATAAATTTATAAAGTCGATTATTAAGCTATTTAATTTAATTGGGTCATATAAAACTAGTTAAGTAATTAAATAAGAAAATTGATTAATAATGGTGAAATAAATAAAATCACTAAGATGGGAAATAATATTATGGACTAAAAATGAGGTTTGGAATAAAATAAAGAAAAGAAAATAAAGTTGGGATAGCTAGTATAAATGAATGACTATATTTGGACTTAATAAATAAATCATTTAACTAGTGGACTAATTAAATTAGTGTGATTAAATTAATAATTATCATCCTTAATTGTTACTTTTTGGACTCCATATAAATTATTAAACTATATGAACTCATAAAAATTAGTTGATTAATACAAACTAATTAATTAAGTAATATGTACTTAATAATTTAGTTAATCGACTCCATTAGACTAGTTTAACTAAATCAATTAGTTTAATGGATAAATTAATTAAATTATGGACGTATTAATATTTTTGGACTTTATATTAAAAATATAAAATTAAAACGAAATTAGAATTTGATTGATTGCCTTAATTGAATTAGATTAATGTATTTAACTATATTTATATAATTAAACTTATTTAGTTGATGAAATTAATTAAATTAATTTAGTTAGCCAAATAAATAAACTGGAGGATTGAATTAGTTATGGTAATTGGATTAGTTAGTATAAATAAACTATTAAACTAATTAAAGTTATTATTGAGAATAGATTATCATTAATGATTAATATTTCGAATTATTGCTTACGGAAAATTATTATTCAAAGGTTTATTAAATAAATTATATAAATTATGTAAACTGAAATTTAACTGAAATTGATTATTTAAATTCGAAATATTGAAACTATTATGTAATTAATTTAATTAGACTAGTTAACTAATTAACCAAATAAGTTAAAGTAAATTATGGAGGGGATTAGTATGATTAAAGAAAATAATAAGGTTGGACTGAAAATTTACATTTAAATAAGATTTATGGATCTAACTTAAAAGTTGTATTTAAAGAAGGAATAATGAAGTTAAAATAACTAAAGGTTGAATAGATAGGAAATAACAAAAATAATAGAATAGTTATTGATTTAGAATTTTGATATATATTAGAAGGAGAATTCAAGTGAAGATCAAGCTAGAGATTTTATTAAGAGGATTATCGCAATTTAAGGTAAGTTCTATGTCAACCAAAAATGTTTTATCTCGTATTTATATGTATGCAATATTTGAACTATGTGGACTATTTATGAATTGGAAACTATTTGTTTGACATGGAATGAATATTTTGAATGTATGGATATTGGTGGATTATTATCTATTATGGATTATTAAATGTATATTCTTTTTATTAAAGAATATTGGTGGATTGATATTTATTACAAAGTATATTTTTGGAAAGTGTGACAAGAATGACTTTGGGAAAAACTTAAAGTTTTTCATAATATATTTTTACGTCTCGAGAGAAACATGAGGCGTGGGTGATTAGGACTACTACTACTTTTGGTGAAATTTATTTGGGTCGGTAACCAGTCCGGCAATGACATGCTCTGGTAGACATCCCGGGCTTTTATTTGAGGACCAAAGGTCCTTTGGTGGTTGTAGTAGTAGTTACCTAATTTATCCCTGGACAATGTCCCTTGTGAGTAGGTGGTAGAAAACATCCTGCCTGCTTGGATTTCTTACTACTCGGAGGGCTTGGAATCCCTTTTAGAGGGTGTGCACACTTAAGGTAGAAATTCAGCTTCCAAATTGGTGGTCGGTGGGAGCCGGAATTCCGGGATGAGTCGTAAATAACAACGACTTGTTGGGCTCGAGAAATCTTGAGTTTCGCCCACTCTTAAAAGAAATCTAAAGTATTACTTTTGGAGGAATTGAGGAATGACATTATCTATTGAAGAATTTATTTTGAGACATGAAGTTATTTTGGAGATATGAGAGGGTATTTTCTATATATATATACCTATACCAAACCTATTTTCCAAATTATATTATTTTACGGGTTCGGGTGGAATCTTACTTAGCTCTAAAGCTAATTTTTGTCTCTTTTGTCTTCTTCTCTTTGCTCTATTGTACAGATGATTATGATTATGAAGATTGATGTACTTGCTGCCCGAGTGTTCCGCTAGTTTGATTAATTATCGTTGTTTAAATTTGTAATTCATAAACTTTGTCCTAAGACCTATTTCATTGTTATTTGAACTTATGGTGGATAGCCTGTGCACTCAATCATGTATAGGTTGAGTGTGGCGGTGATGCACCTGTTTTTCCCTTAAAGACTTCCGCTGTATTCTAATTATGTTTAATAATAAAGATGGTTTCATTTAAAAATGTGATTTTATTTGGGTGGGGAAAATGGGGGTGTTACACAAATACTTAGCCTTATCTCTATAATTTAGCGTTTTCAACGAAAATAGAGCACTTTTAGCGTAAATACAGTGTAGTTTAGTAATTAGGCAATCATCCCTTGATATTTTGAAATCGGCGCCTGAAGAAGAGTTTTAGAACTCGGTAAGATCTTTCCAAC